ATGACCAGGCTTTGATTTGAGGGCCCAGGTTACAATTGATATGGCTTAGTGACTGGATGGTTTCTGAAGGGGTGGTGGCAGTGGCCAAAGAAAGAGAAGGTTAATTTAAGTGTGTCCTTGAGATGCATATCGATGCAGGTCTGGATATAGATATAGGCAGTGGAGCTTAATCCTATCATGTGTTGTGTTTTCCTTTTAGTAATATATTCCCCCATTTTCTTTTATGAAAAGCATATGGAACTCACGGTCTGATAGGTAGAAAGGCTAAGAGAAATGCAAGCAGAGGGACGTAACGCTCCTGGCTGTGATAGACTGGTCTGCAGAATGTTTTGATTCTCTGAATGAGTCAAAAGATTGAAAAAATAGCCGCTACTACCATAGGAAAAAAATGAGGAGGAAGGGTCCTGAAAATGGTATCTGAGCAATGAAAGACAGTGAATATTTTAAAGATCACTGAATTTAATTTATTCAACCTAAATGCATAAAAGTACAGGTGGGGACATTATTTATGCAGGTATATGCAAATCACTTTATAAAATAGGCAAAGCCCTTCTGCTTTTTATAAGTTGCCAAGGTGGTTCCTGATATTTTAAAAGCTATGCACCTTTAATGTAATTTCCTAAGAGTTGGAATCCCTCTGTCGGAATCACAGTCATTGTCAGAGCAAGTTTATTTTTTTCTCTCCTCTGGGACATTTACAAGGCTCTCATAACCATCACAAAAAGAGTGGTTTCCACAGAGATGTGACTGGAAAAATCACTTGGAAATCGCTGAGGAGCAAGTCACAATGTTCAAAGCAGAGAACATAGGCTTTGAAAACATGAACCCATCTGACCTCTTGAATTTAGTACAGTGAATTCCTGAGCTCTGAAACATGGGGCCCGGCTGTGCATGCCATATTGGTGCTATAAGACTGGCAGTAGGTTGGCTGTGGCATGGTCTATTTCAAACTCCTTCACAGTGCCCAGTGTTGCATGTTCCCAGATGACATTTGGTTGGCAGAAGCTGGGCCTCCAAAGCTGGCAGTCTGGAATGCAGCCCACTGTGTTTTGACAAACACATAATTGACCATCTGATCACCAGCCTACGTTCTGCTCTCAGGTCACTGGGGGGACCTGGGCTTCTAATAGGTCCCTATTCCTTGTCTTGCTCATCTTCTAAACCTTTCTCCAGAAAGTAATATAGAGAAGACTTAAACACACCCACGCATACCCTTCCATTTGCAAAAGAGAACGTGGTACATGAAACATAAGCTGTTGAAAATTTCCTTTAAATTGTCCTGGCAGCCCAAAGTGAACAAGAGAAAAGCACACTTATGGTGAACTCTAATTCAGAAAGAAGGAATGAATACACTGAATTGTTTCAACATCCGGCTGTGCATAAGCTGCAGTTCAGCTCAATGGCTTGGAACTTCTTCTTAGAAAAAGCAATAGAAAAATGATAGGAAATTGGGGCAGTGATTGACTTTAGGCGGACATTATTAAGAAATTGTTTCATTTTCAGGTGAAAGAAGAGAAAAGCAGGACACTGAGAATGTCTTCTCCTTATCTGCCTGCCACTCTGCAAGTCCACTAAGGGAGAAGGAGATACACGTCTCTAGAGACCAGTAGGTAGCATCTCAGAGTGAGGTCAGATTCACACGGAGGTCCTGGTGAAGCTCCCATAAAGAGATGTATGTTGGCCTGAAATTTGGTCCCACACAACACATCAGCCTTTCTCCTAGAAGGCAAGGATTAGGCCCTGGGCCAAGATATGCTGGCATTATGCAAATGTCAATATTTATGTCAACACTACCAAGTAGCTTGCCTCTCCACGCCCACCTCCACTACACAGTTCAGACCCTAGGTTTTCACCTTTGACCTGAGCTCCCTCTTCTCAGTCAGCCATCTCTACAGTCACCAGCGTGCTCTTTTTCTAAAATATAAATCTACTTAAAACTCTTCAAAGCTTCCTCAAGCTTGCAGCATCGAGTCCAAACTCCTTTGCACAGCATGCAAGGTCCTCCGTGATCTGCCTCCTACCCACTTTGCAGTCTCCTCCCTCAGGCTTCCCTTTCCACCACCACGCTCCAGCCACACTGAACCACTGTCCTCTGAATCTGGCTGGTGCTTGATGACACCTCCTGACTTTGGAAACTGTAAACGCTCTTGCTTTTTTTCCTGATTATGATTCCCTTTTTCCTTCCCCTCCCCCACATCCACTTGGTAAACTGCAATTCATTCTTCGGACTATTAGACCCAGCTTGGGTGCCTCTCCACACGCAGGTGGGCACTCTTTCCTCGTTCCCCTGGCTACATGTTGTACATACCTCCATTTCAGCACCTATCACATGGGAGAGTCTTTATTTACTATTTATCTCTCCAACCAGACTGTGAGATTCTTAACAACAGGGAGCATTTCTTATTTATCTTGGAGTTTCAGGAACCAAACGTAATGACTAGCTTTCCATAAATGTTTGTTGACTGCAAACTGAATAAAGAGCTCTGCATGCTATTCAAAACTAAGCCAAGCAGTAGTAGTAGCTTCTATAAGCATGGTAGGAGCCTATTAGCAATCTAATGAAGGCAGAAGATCCCAGCAGTAAGGCACTTTCTGACGGTTATCACAGGGTTAAAGTAAGAGTGAAGGATAGATGGAGGAAAGTCTTGTTAACGGAGAGTGTCACTGAGGCAGTCAATTTTCAACCTTTTCTACATTTAGTTTTCGATACTGAAAGGTATTGTTCTGAGAATGAATCTGAGACTGAATTATGGAGAGGTTTCACTTGTAAGAGGTTCTTGTAAGAACCTGGTTTCTCAAATAGGGCAAGTCTGTGTTACCTGCTTCAAGGCAACATAGCAGTTATGGAGGGCTCCTCGTTGTTTCTGCTAAAGAGCAACGGAATGCAAAACTCTTGAGGGGGAACATCTGGAAGCTACTCAGTTCCTATTTGAATCTGTGTCCAATTCAGGTTTGGACTTGGGAGGAAATGCAGTGCCAAGGAGAGAAGGTCCAATGGGCAGGATTCTGCACCTGTCTGGAGGAGGCCATGAAAGGCACTGAGAACTAGAAGCACAGGAAAAGACAATGTTCTGATCTGTTCCCAAGGAAATTTTATTTTCCCTTTGATGAGCATCTGGGGCACCACCCCTGAAGCCATCAGCTGTGTCTGTGGGGCACTTGAGGACATCAAGACTGTCACAGGCCCTGTCATCCTTGAAATAAAGGCAGCTTCAGGCTTTGGAACAATCCAAGCAAACACGAAGCCTGGCCCAGGGGTGGGACAAGGTTAGCAGGTACATGAATGGGGCTATCAGCCCATTACAGGTCATTGTCCCAGCCTTAGCTCTGGTTAAAAACCAGGATCTCTCTAGAAGCTGCCCAATTGATGGTTGATGCAGCATAGAATCAGTTTCACGTTTTCCTGTGAGCCAGAGACAGCCTTTCAATTACGTTTTTTATCTCAAAGGTCTCCCCCTCAATTTCTAATCTGTGACACAGGTCTCCAGTCCCCTGTACTGCTTGTGTCTGAGGCTCGCCCTACAGTGCTGACGTCATAATAGCTGAGCCGTGCGGGCAGGAGTGCACTGTGCTGACTCATTCCTGGTGATGCGAGGATTAATGCCTTGTCTAACACAGAGCTATTATGTGAACTGTTTTTACACAAAAGAACTGTAACAAAAATGATTTGCCAGTCAGAGGACTAGAAATATGCAGTGCTAGGTAACTGAGGTACTGAGGTAGGGACGGGAGACATAAAGTGGTGACCACAAGCATGCATATTGATACCCTCCAAAGCATTGACAGACCCACTCTATCAACGCCGAGAATAAGGAGTAACCAGACTTGTCAGGGGCAGGGAGGACCCACCCCTGCTGTATAAATGCATTACACACAGCACCAGTCTTTGGGGAGTTTAATCAATCTCTTTTCTCTGTCAAATAACTGTCACTTTAGAGTTTAGCCTTAGCATCCTTTGGAAGATTCTGCTCCCCTAAATACATTTGCAACTAGCTTCTAGGAATGTTAATGGGAGCAACACACAAGCAAAAGAGTCATGGGAACCCCGTTTGTGTGCAAATGATTACAATACAAGAAATACCTTGGAGTGCGAAGGAGTCAGTGAAGTCACATAGAATGTTGTGAATAAGGGACAGTGCTCAGTGGAGAGTGAGAAGCCGCTGGAAGGATGCTGATGATTATGCATCACATGAGATGACTGTACTATCTGTGGCATCTCTCGGGTGGTGTCTCATGTAGTAACTTTGATTATTTGGGTTCACTGCCCCAGACTCTCTTTCAAACAGCTCGAGGTAAAATTTATCCAAATCCACTCAGTGCAGCCTGGGTTGGGCTTTAAATAATAAATGTTCTCTCTTTTCATCTGAAATCAAGTTTTTTTTCCCAAATGACTTCCCATCTTTTCTAAAAAAGAATAGCAACTTCTATAAACCTCCTGGCATGTGTAATCCTGGATTTCTCTCTCTTTTTTTTTTTTCTGGACTTTACAATTTCACACACAATGTTAGCCTAAATGGCTGAAGTCTTGTACTTCAGTCTTGTACTTCTTAGTAAAAGGATATTATAAATATTGTCAGTAAATGAAAGCTCTGATCTAGGAGTTGAAATTAAAAACGACTGGACCTAGAGATGGGTGTACAACTAAAGAATAAATAATTGCCCATTGATTGACAGTGGAGCAAAAGCCCCAACTGTTGCTGGTGTCTGGCTGAAGAATGTAAGCCACAGTTTAGAAGAGCAGTGGCTTTTGCAAACAGCAGCTGCGGTGGAGTTAAAGGCAGTCTTTATATAAGCCCAGTGGCTGGGGCGGCTGTTCAGCCCCCTCATGGACGGCAACCACTACTACGACCAAGAGCATCAACTCCAAACCCGAAAGAAGCTAATACATACTGAAGAAGTGCTGGAAACCACAACAAAGTCAACCAGAAAACATACCGATATAGACCCAAATTTATCAAATCCGACATTTTTTGAAAAGTAAAGAAACCACTTTTACTTACATAAAGAGAAGAGGCAGGCCACAGACTGATGGTCAAGGAACTGAAAATCAAAAAAAAAAAAATATAAGGAATTAAAAATCAATCCAATGATACTGTGAGGAGAAGGAAAGCAAACTAAGTATAGATGGGACTGGTAGCTCCTAAAGGATGAGCAGTAGGAGCCCATTTTGTCACCTGTAGCCCAAGAAAAAGGAGATCCAGCCTCCTCCAATTTTCCAAAGATGTGGCCTCCTGCTATATGACTAACACAGTACTTCCCAGCATAAGGAGTGCCAGCCTCTTCTTCTGTCAACCTCATTCTGATCTAAATCATTTTCTAGAGCTGTACTGTTCAATATAGTAGCCACTAGCCATATTTATCTATTTAAATTTAAACTAATTAAAATTTAATAAAACATTAAATTGCACAGTCACACTAGCCACATTTCAAGTGCTCAATACCCACCTGTGGCTAGTGGCTGCCTTATAGGTAGAACATTTCTATTGTTGCGTAAAAATATCTATTGGGCAGCACTGACTAGCATAGGTAAAAGCTTTACTGTATAGCACTTGACAAATTTTAGCCAATTTTGACAAAGATGAGTCAAATCCTGATAAACTTTGGCTTTGGCTCTTTTCAGGGTAAATTTAATATGTTTAATGTCCAGAGGATCTTTTGGACAATTCACCACCTCCATGCATTATTAACCTTCTGCTGAGAACATGCCTTGCTTCTGCCTCTTCTTGGCTTGGTGCTGGCTGAGGACCGGACACCCCTTCATCTAACCCTTCTCATAAGCCTAGGAGTGTCCCCTCTGACAACATTATTTTAAACCAAAGCATTTGCCCCTCAAAACACATCTTTAATGATGAAAACTTCAGGTTTGGGGGGAGTTGACCTCGACAGTTTCTCTTTCTATATTTCAAATCTAATAATTTTCCTTTGTATTCTTCAACTCAGAAGTCACATAAACTATTATGGGACTGGCCTGCTCACCATTGTTTGGATAGCTTCTCTTATAGCAGTATAAAACTGAAGTAACAGAAGATTCACGAGAAATTAATAAACCAGACAAGGATGCTGAGAAAACAAAGTCTCTTCACCCCTACCCTACTCAGATCTATCAAAGACTTAATATATGCTGATTGAATTCTTGTCTCTCTGACACCATGATTTTAACCACTTCACATAAGGCCTCCAGAAATATGCAAAACAAACTGTATTAAAAGAAATCAAGTGGAAGGATCTGATTAAATAACCTGGCATTAGAGTAAGGCCAAAGCAGAAAACGGGCAATTAAAGAGACTCCACTTCTCAGCAAGCTTTCTGGACAAATGCAGCATCGTAGAGGTTCCTCCAGAAAGAAAGTTTCCCCTTCATGGCCGTGGCAAAACCCTGTCCACACACACGCAAGGATGAAGAATGGTGTTCTCTTCCTTGGACAAGAGGAATTAAGTTGAAAATCTGCAGCCTGGATCATAATGTATGCTAACGAATGAGAGGTTGGGGGTCTTCAATGCTTTCAAATTTTTTTCAAATGTTTCACAAAATTGATGAGTTTAATGAAAATTTTAAGCAAGATAATTAGATGATGTATGATTCATTGAAAATACAAACAAACTTGAAACACATATACAAAAAAAAGACTGACGAGTCTCAAAGACTTTAAAGCTTTAAGTTTTGTTACATTCTAGTATCTTCTATAAACCAGGATCCCAGACTACTGCACTGGTGCATCTTTTCAAATCTTTTTTCCTCCTTCCTTCCATTCATCTGTCCTTCTGTTCCTCCATCCATTCTTCCCTCCTCCATATTTTATTTTTTTGAGGAAGATTGGCTCTGAGGTAACATCCATTGCCAGTCTTTCTCTTTTTGCTTGAAGAAGATTGTCACTGAGCTAACATCCCTGTCAATCTTGCTCTACTTTATGTGGGATGCTGCCACAGCATGGCTTGATGAGCCATGTTAAGTCTACAACCGGGATCCGAACCTGCAAACCCCAGGCCACCAAAGCAGAATACAGAAGCTTAACCACTCGGACACCGGGCCGGCCTCCCACGCCCTCAACATCTTTTGAGCTTGCTCTCTTTCCCAACCTTTTAGGAAAAGAAGACAAATATGATTCGTGGTTATTTTTCTGTTACATATTATAAACCCCAAAACTCTCTATAATATATTACGTTCTTTTTAAACTGTACTCAGGGGACTGGCCCTGTGGCTGAGCGGTTAAGTTTGTGCACTCCCAGAGTTTCGCGGGTTCGAATCCTGGGCACGGACATGGCACCGCTCATCAGGCCACGCTGAGGTGGCATCCCACATGCCACAACTAGAAGGACCCATAACTAAAAACACACAACTATGTACCGGGGGGCTTTTGGGAAATAAAGGAAAAATAAAATCTTAAAAAAACAAAAAACTGTACTCAGAATTTATATTCTTATATCTAAGCACATATATATTTCTATTTCACATTTCCTTTCTAAATTGAAAGGAGCATTTATTTATAAAAGTTAATCAGTCAAAATTAAATTTTTGATGTGATCACAGAGATCAATGTAAATTGTACCCAGATTGACTAATACATCCAAGGCCTGGAATGAAAAACTATCTTTCCTGGATGTCAAATGACACACAGGCTGTCAATGACAGGAATCCAAGATGGAGAGAAAAATCACAGTGTATATGTCACAGTCTAAGACAAATTAAAGCCAAGTTAAATTGAAGATTCTATTGGATGTAATTGTTGCCTTTATGTATTAATGAAAAACAATAATATCCATATCAAATTTAATATTAAGGCTAAAAATTTAATCTCAGAGTTCTTATACTATTCATAAACGTTCATAAACGTCAAAAGGCCCCTACTTTTTGATTGAATTACAATCCGCTAGGCAATTTTGAGAATATGTATTAATCTATGTAGATTTACTTTTGTTCAGTTCAAATTGTTATTTTATTGATATGTGCCCTTTCTGCCTAAGTGATATTCACCTTATATGCCTGTAAGTTGTCTTCATCTGAAATGCAAAGAATTATCTATAATAGTTTTGCATAAGATTAAAAACATATTTATTAAGCATGCTAGGTTCAAAGCAAAGACTATACAACAGTAAAGCCCAACTAATTCAGGACCTTAAAACATGGTGGGGGAGGCAAAAGTAGAGAGGGGAAGGAGCGTGACTTGTGGTGAAATCTGATCTTAGTGTTGTGATTTCTGAGTGGAAATTATTATATAGTATCAATCTCCAAGGAACTAACAGCATTATTAATTGTACCCGAAAGATTAATCAATTCTGATTTCAGTTTATGTAATGTTCTAGGACAATGGTTTCCAATATTTTGAGGTTATCAGATCTCTATTAGAATCCCTTCTCCCAGAAACTCCTCAAAGACCCCAAGTTTCAAGGAGCTCCCAGACTCCATGAAAGACAACCACAAATTCCAGGTTAGTGCCCCTTGGCCTGGTGGGGAGGAGAGAAATTGCCCTTTCAATCCCACTGGTCATGACCTCTAGGAAGTTTTAACAAGTCGCTAGAAACTGAAGCCTGGAGTACATAAAATGTATGGAAAATAGAGCTCTGCGTGGGTGAGTGTGTGTGGCTAGAGACACACAGACTCCTTTGAAGGCCTCCCTGACTCTGAACTTCCTGCTCCTTTATAGTCTCTTTTTTCAAAAGTCCACAGAACCTTAGGAACAGTTAGGTAGAGGAGCAGTGAGCAGAGAAATGGTAATAAGAGTTACTATGTACCGAGTGCCTTCCGTGGTTTCAAGCATCCTACTAAGTAAATGCTTCCTAACTCTCAATATGGCTACACCCATGGACGTGGAGCAGTGCAATGGAAAGACACAAAGCCACAAAATAATTAATAAAGACATGGCTATCTCCTTGGAGGGTTAGCTGTCCTTGTGGCTAAGTAATTCAAATTCTTATTTGTACATACATTCATTTATCCAATAACTATTTCTTGGATGTTATAGAAGAAATAAATCAGATTCTGTTCTTGTCCTCATGGAACTGCCAGTTTAGTGAAACAAACAAGAATATATCGAGGATTAGAATACAAAATTTGTGTGTATTCTTAGGGTAAAAAAAAGGAAAAGCAGATTAACAGTATATCATTTAATCTCGACTACAAGAGTAAATACCATTACTTCCAATTTGCTAGAGTAAAAAGGGAGATTTGAGAAATTGGGAAACTTACCCTAAATCACATAGCTGCTGGGATCTGAATAAGTCTGTACCATTCCAAAGTCTACATATTTTTAACCACTCAATTACACTGCTTCTAGGTGTTTCCCACTTTATGCTTCCCCTTGAAATGTGGGCTCATTCAGAATTTTGTAGGCTAGTTTAAGCTTCTCCTTTGGAAGGAGACAGGTTTGGCTTGATTTGCATTCTAAATATTTCACAGTGGTAGGGGAAAGCTATTATTATACCCATTTTATGGTGTGGAAGCTGAGCCACTTGCCAGCTGAGGTATCTGGCTGGGTTAAAAACGGAATCCGGGTCGTCAGTCTCTCATTCCTCTCGACTAACTCCAAGCCTGAGCAATGGGACTGTCCAAGGGCTTTTCTGCACATGGGACTCACACTGGCTGATAAAGAGTGAGACAAACTTTGTTAAGAGAAAATAATAGTGCAATAAAAAATGGAAAATAAGTAATCATAACACTCAAAAAACGGTTACTTTTAGCATTGTGAATAGAAAAGGGAGAGCTTATTCATCACAAATGAATCAGAAAATTAGAATGTGTCACAGCATTGATGACAGAACTGAGGAATTCAGATGAACTGAAGTTCAACACTTATCCTTCTATCTGAAGAAGGTAAATGGTGTGACAAGACGATGGAAATGACCTCTTAGACATGCCTTTTATCTTTCCAATCTTTTTTCTTTGACTACTCTCTCTAGAACTTAGGTGGGTTTATACTTTTGTTTTTTATGGGTAGAGATAACATTTTAACATCCTTTTAATGTTCTAGAAGTATTGTGTTAATTAATTCTTATGTGGGAGTCATTCCAAATCGTAGGATGAAGATTTTTACCTTATTGATTTTC